GACATCTGCACCATCCATTCATAGTCCTATGCTTGTTATCAACCTCCACAGCATGAATGCGATAGTTCTAGCTTAAGAGCCCCTTTGAATCACATGGTTGAAAAAATGGAGGAATAGGAAAACACATGATTTTGATAGGAATTGAAGTGTAAAACAAAGGATTGCAAAACACAGGAAAAACACATGAATGATCGTTTGATTGGATCACTTTTAACAACCAAATTTGGTAATATCGGCATCGGGAAAGAAGATTAGATTGGTAAAGTCGGAGGCGGAGATTGAGTTCGAAAACAGAGCAGGAATCGGCTGGAGTCCAGATAGGCTACGATTAGGATCGGCTGGGTCTGAGTCGGACTGGGTAAGCCGATGCAGCCAGTTCCGACAATGCAACTTGATGTATGATATCGGGTTGAATTGAGGCGCTTCAAGGTGATTGCCGCACATGGATAGAGTCCTGAGAAGGCAATTGTATCTATTAATTAGGATGTTTTATGTAATTTCCTTAGAGATATGCTTGGGTAAAAGTCTGCCGCAAAGACTTGTGGTATCTTAGAGTTTGTTAGAGATAGTAGTCGTGTCCGTTATGGACATATCTTGTAATTCTCGGGTATAAATAGACCCGAGCCTTATGTAACTTTTAACACATACGTTCAATACAATCTCGGCGCATCGCCACCTTTTTGCTTTAGTTTTATTTCGACGAGTTCTTACTTTCGGGTTGAGCTGCATCGGTTTCGATCTTCAACAAGAGGTAAAACTTGCTATGATGGATTATGTTCTCGGGATTAGTGCTTCCATCTTTATGATACTCTAATCTTGTCTATATAATTCGTCAAGTTATCATATATCTTACATAATCTTCGACAATATCGTCATTTAACTTACAATCGGCTAACACCTGTCAACAGAAGGCAGCCGATTAGGTTAAATAGCGATGTTGACCTAGATTATATAAGATATCTACCACTCTATGAAACTTCCAGCGGCTTGATTGTCTAGATATTGTTCTTCTTTTCATACTTAAATGCTGCATCAGTTGAGTTTGATCTATTAAGTCGTGCTTAGAATATCAATCTCTAGCCTGCCTTCTGGTCGCCGATTAGGGTAGCGTCGGAGTTTCAGCCGATCTTACCTGATTTAATTGTATTTGCTCTATATGCTTCAGCGATATGTTAAATCTGTCCTTTGTGTCAAGATCTTATTTGCATTTAAGTATATTAGGTTTTTGTTTGATATATTATACTTGTTTCAATATTCTGATATAGAGTAGTATCGGAGTATTAGCCGATATACGCTAGATCTATCTGATCGGCTATGCTATAAACATATATAAGGCTGTTATTAATATATATTTCAATCTAAGTGATTTATACTGTCTCGACATGGCGACCGATCTATCCCAATCACTTGATTTAAGTATATATTGATATAGGAACTATATGTTGTTAATATGTACAGCCGATCGAATAGATTTAGTTCTTTATTGTCTATTTACAACTGCCGATTGATTAACATATGACATCGGCTCAAAGATAAATGATATGTCATCGGCACCTAGCCGATCGGCTATCATTTATAGATTTATCCGCGGTTTCTTTGTCTCTATTTCTTGTTGATTGTAGAATCAAATCAACTGGCACGCTAACACACCCGAAGGCGAGTTTTGGACCTGCACTAGAGTTAAGCAGATCTCCCAGGTCTGTCAACAATCACAGAAAAAACGCAGGAATCGAATGAGAGAGATAGACTCAAAGGAAATCTTTCAAGAGGTTAGAGCTCTTGCTAAGTCTCCTCCAAAATCCACCTGCAATGTGTCATTTCATAGGAACTTTATAGGATTTGGAAAACTTCAATCTTTGAATCAAATGGCCAAATAGAAAATTTTCCTATATGATTTGAATCCTACGAAATTCCTACCTAAATCATTTGATTCAAAGAGCCTTAAAAAGTAGAATATTGTTGCTACAGTACCCCGGATGATTTGAACCATTCGTTTTTAATCTGAGTGCTCAAGTGCTACTGCAAAACATTGTAGCACCTTGCTTTGGCAGTACAAACCGCAGAGGATCCAGATCCGTGTTTTGGTTATACGACTTTTGAATTTCAGGAGCCTCTTTTGAATTTTTGCACTAGGGCCTCAAATTCGTAGAGACGTCCCCGCATTTAAGAACCATGTTATTCAATAGATGCGTATATTTATAAGTTAGCTAATTAGGCAAGTATAGTTAGGTAGTACTACGCCGGAGTACATGTTAGAGTACGTGCGATTACCCCTGAAAAGTGTTTTCCAGTAGTTAGTTAGGTAGTACCCATCGCTACGTTTGGCACTCATATTGAACGGTAACGTGGTAAGGATGAAAACTGGTCCTCGAAGCATCTATTCTAGCATCCGATTGCACACGGCCTAAGCCATGACATGCCTCGGCACTAAGGCATCCGGACTGAGCTTTTACTTTTCAACCATCCTTTTATCTGCAGAGATCGATCTTGACCCCGGTTTACTTGCTGTAATAGTTGACCCCATCTCTTAATGTTAATGCAACTCCTAGCTTGTTTGTCCCCTTCACCACATTCAGGATTTAGACAGGAAACTGATCATCCATGTGTGCTCACATGGCATTGCACGCACATTGTATCTTTTAATTTGTTTCAACGCACTAACTTCTTAAGATGTGGTACATGATGTATGGGAAAAAAGAAGAACTAGCAGTTGCTTAATTGTGCGTCATTTTCCCGAAACAATAAATTGGCCGTCAATGTCAAGATTGCAGTGCTGGAGTTTGTTTCACACACCCATCACACCAAGGAGCATTTCCAGCCAAGTGGTAAGTCATAAGTAGAAGTACTTGCGATTCATAGCAGCATGACGTACGGGATCCCAAAATCCAGTCACCTTTTCATTTGAATTTTAGTTAGCATGAAAATTCTAGAATAATAATCTAAATTTATTTTGAAGGTTAGAATAATCTAAATTTATTTTGAAAGGCTAGTTAGAATCTAAATTTGAAAATTCATGAGTTTTTAGAGCTCCATGAAATGGACTTCACTGACCAGCTGGTCCACACCAAACCAGACCACAAGCTAAGATGACAAAAAAGGAGTGAAATTTCAAGTGGATAAGAGTTCTTGGATGACGTGGCCGACATTTGGGACACCTTTTCCTTAGGTGGCACTGATGGCTCCTATCCTCCTGTGACCCACTAGTCTGTTTGATCCTACTTGGCCTTTTTTGTTTATGTCCAGTAGTTTTCTCCCAGCCATCCACCTACCACCACGTGTACGCCCCTCCCACGAAGCAAAATTCGTACCAAATAAAAACTCCTGGAAAAAAACATTTGGCAAATTTTATCTCTACATTTGACGAAATTGTATTTGTTGCTATCTACACAAAATTTCAGTCTGAAAACGAAAATTACTTTGAGAGAAAAAAAAATGGTAAACCATGTGGCCGGGAGACAAGAAAAGCGACTCGATCGGCACAAAAGGGCTCACAAAAGGGACACCGAGCGAAAACGAGACCACGTTCCAGACTCAACCCCTACTGGTTACTCCGTCGTCGCCGCGTGCGGAAAATGATTTCGCGTGCCAAATTATGTGGCATGAAAAATACCCTAAAAAAACAATTACATATATTTATTCATATATCCCGACAACGACCCGTCAACCGTTGGGGAAGAGGAGAAGCTGAGGATGGGTTCCTCTCCGTGGCTCACACGGATAACGTCCGACGCGGCTCGACGCGGGCGGGCGGGAGGCGATAACGCCGGCGGACTTGGATGACAACCGCGGGCCAGTCGCCGTCGGGGAATAGCACAAATGAAATGTTGCCGAGAGAGTTTTTTTTTTTTCATGCGATCTCCCGAGAAAAAAAAAGAAAAAAAAAACGTCTTTGCTTTCGTCGTCCGTTCGTGTCCGTTCCGGCGTGCGAAAAAAAATCTGGGGATGGCACCGCGGAAACGTCGCCCCGGGCTGGGCGTTTTTGTCGTGGAAAACGTACGCTCTCGCTCGCGGCGACGCGACGGCTCGGCTGCAAATATCCACAGTAGCATGCAGTTCATTCTGCAAATGGGAGTAGCGTGTGTGTGTGTGTGTGTTTTTTGTGACGCTGCGTCGTTCTGGCTGGGATGAACAAATATCCGAGATTCTTTTGCAATGGTGGCAGTGACTGACTGACTGACTGACTCTGTTAGTTGAAGACGTTGCTGCTAGGGAGAGAGCATTGGAAACCAGGGAAAAGGGGCGTCTGTTTGTTGTGTTTTCGCGGAATTGGTGGTTTGCACATTGTTTTAAAGGTGTCATGGAGTTGGAACATACTTGTATGAGTTATTGATGTGTAGGGGGTGTTTGGCATAACTCGAGATCTAAGAGTTTTTAAACTATGAATACAAATCAATAGATCTGGATCTACAATTATATTGATAACTTTTGAATGAATCATTTAGATGAAATATAAAATTTTAAACCACTATAATTTAATATACAAACTTCAAATCCAATGCGAATTTAAGATGGAGAGTTATGCCAAATAAGACCCTAGTATGTGTCTTTACGATGATATTTTCCAAATTTCTCTTTTTTTTTAAAAAAAATCTGCTGTTCACGAAAGAAAAGGTAACACCATATTGCTTTCAACCAGTGATATCTAGGGGGGTAAAGGATAAAGATGTGAGATAAGATGGACTGCAAAACTACGAAGGTAAAAAAAAGAAGATGACGAACGTGCTTTAGGAAGTTCTTTTTTTTTTTCTTGCAGCTGCTTTACTAGCATATTCTTTGCAAGTTTATATTAAGGCCAAGCGTATCAAGTATTATAATGGAGTGAAGCAGCAAGGCAGGACTTCAAAATTTTGCTTTATAATGTTGACATGATTGTGACTAACTACAACTAGAACTTTATCAGCAATTGTATGTCCAGGCTGAAGGAAGAGGTAGGCGAATTTGTCTTGCCGGTGGTGGAGATGTCAAATAATGAAAATCACAATGCATTTTCTCCTGCAAGATGCTCCTTCACAACATCAACATCCATTGCTTTTGCCTCATGGTTAAAAGTTCGACAAGACAAACTCCATGCAGTACTATGATAATGTTTCAAGATGTTAGCTGTACACTACAATCTATCCCAAGTAGAACGTTTTCCAGTTCAGCTGCTATACAGTGTCACCAGTGACAAGGCTAAAAAATACAAAGAACATCAAGAACTTGTAGGTTGAGTAGTGTGCCTATCTTGACCCTCAATCTTTTGTCACAGTGAATCAAACAATACCAAGGATATCAGGGGACACAAAGATGTATAGGGTCAATAAGCAACTAGGCAAAGTAAACAAAAGCAGAATGCATCATCTGATTCATAAATTGCACACCACTGTATGTGACATTAGGGCGCCTCTATTTAGACACCGAATGCTGACTGAATTGTTGACCTGACACCAGATGATAGGAGCGTAGTTCTAGTCCAATCTGCAACGTTTTTCTTGGCATCTGAAAAATAACCACAATAAACTCAGAGCCATAGTTAAAAGTTCAAGCAGAGTGCAATGTCTTATATGCCAGGCACAGATGTCAACATGCTTGGGTAGCCTAGAAGCTGACTTAGACAATGGGAAAGCTAGAAGTGATATCTGAAGCTGACAGAATGAATGTATTTCCTGGCATACAATGTACTTCCCCATGGAATTATCCAGTTAAAGACATCCAGAGCTATGAAAACACAAGTACGTAAACAGAGAAGAACCATCTAAAACTGATCAGAATAGGTACACAAAACAATGATGGCTTCAGGATAAAGGCAACTGGTCTAGATTCTAGAACACATTCCAGGCTGAACATGGTCTGTTTACTAAATGAACTGTACTTTCAAACAAGATATTGATGTTGAAGGTTCTATTTTCTCAGCTAAGACAATGTTAAAAGGACATGAACGCACAGCATTCTGTTGCTAAGTTTACCATTTTGTAAGCAAAGATATAGAAATTCGTGCAATTCACTTCCAATGCATACCTGTTCTGTTTCTAACTGGCTATTTTAAGACACCAAAAAAAAAAAATCCTCTAACAGAATTGCATCTTACATGCCATGTAGACTTTTCTAACGAGAAACACGGAATTCTCTTCAAGAGAAGTCTCTCACCTTTGTTGCACTTGGTGAAGCCAACAATGTTTGCTATGCTGAGACTCAAGCAAACTCCAACAACAAGAAGGTAATCAGCATGAAGTCTGATGAGTGAGAATATCCCAAGAACAATCCATGCAGCAGCCTGAAACATGGAAAAAGCATGTTTATTTCAAATAGCCTTCAAAGAATTACAATTACCTTCACAGTTAGTAACCTGTTCTCCTAGAGAATTTTCTTCTGTTCCAAATTATTTTCTAATTTGAACATTATTACAGTAACAAGAAAATGAAAACATGAGCAACTCTACAATAAAAGGAGCATCTTTTTTTTTTACAAAACATGGATATAATTGCTTGACAATACGTCGTCAAACATGAACCTGTGTTAAAAAAAACACGGATATAATTTTTGTAAACATGTTCCTTTTTCAATAAAAAAAACATGAGCCTATATTGGGCTTGTTTGGCACAACTCTAGCTCCAGCTCCACCTTAGCTCCACCTCTGGTGGAGCTGGAACTTGGCCAAACTGTTTCAGCCCCACCTAAAATGGGAGTGGGGCTGAGTGGAGCTCTCTTACAAAATGAACTAGAGAGGTGGAGCTGGGTTTAGGCAGCTCCACAACTCCACTCTAGACCCAACTCCTGGAGCTAAGTTTAGGAGTTAGAGCTCTACCAAACAGACCCATTGTTTGACAATACCTCATCAACATTTATGTAGTGTTCACATGATGTATTCTGTATTTGCTTTCTCACAGTTTGCCATTATGGGAGCTTTAATTGACGTGAACTTTCAGTTTTGTGAGTGTAAAACTGTAGATACCTTTATATGTAACACTATTGTAGACTACAATTTTTTACAAAAGCAAATCAGTGAATCACAGTCCAGATTAGTGTGTTGGGTCAACTAGCAGGATATTTATCAATTGAAGAGATTTCTAGCCATCCACTATCCCTATCATGTAACTCCAGCAGAACAAATCCTTAATTTCCTAGTGTTTCATCCAGCTTCAATGCTGGGTAGCTGAGGAACACGTCAGATCCCTCCCAGATGTAATCCTCTGCAGAAGCTTCCTGCCCTGCAACAAGGATGCCACATGCGCTGCAGGGCCACATGGAGCTGACCAAAGACTTTACGCTTGCCTTGCTCCGGTCGATGCTTCTACCGGCCTACGCAGTCTGTCCTCTGCTCTCGTCAATGCGTTTACTTTCTATTTTGCTTTTCTCAAGTGTCACTTGGTTTATCAGTGAATCCATGAATGATTTAGTCTTCCTATCCTGCAGGAAGCCAGCTGCAATACCTGGTGCAGCAGCCATGGGAAGAAGGGAATTGGGGAATGTGAGTTTGCTCGAGATGGATATGGCTAAGGGCAGGGAGCCAGGGATTGATGACTACATGCTGTGATTGCATGCGTTTACTTAAGGATCTAATCTGGCTGCAAGGGGATATGTGTCCTTACTCATGTCTATTTGAATGTTTCACATGGGAAAAAAGCAAAATCATGATGGCAACGGACAAAGTGATGAAGAACTTAAGGGTGGACCACCATATTCAGTGACATGAAACCAAATTTTCCTAGATTTTAATCATAAATGCAACAGAACTAGCAAAGTATATACTATAGAGTATTTCCAAGAAAAAAATCAATAATACTATAGAGTACTGTTTTTATAACCAATATTTTTTGCATTTACATCTAAACGGTCAGACATAAGAGTATCAATAGGTTGACTTTACAGATCATACTACGACTTGCATTTTGGGTTGAAGGGAGAATATGACAAGTTCTAATTCTAAGTTTACAAAGGAGAAAAAATAGCTATCCTCAGATCAACAAAATTGTGCATAAATTACATCAAAATATCAAATCAATAATTAACTATATGTGTAGATGCACACCATGACAAAAAAGGCCGTACAAACAACACACATGTGCAAAAATGATGCACCCAGGGGCGGCGCAAGGCTAGGTGGAAGCTTTACAAACTGACACCATGCCTACCAGAGGCACTTCAGATACTTTCAGCATATAGGCTCAACAATTCTACGGTGAAGTCAATCTCGACTCTGTATAAAGATTTGATACAGACTTCTATGGTTTATCATACTTTAATAGGTATGCTACTGATTGTCATCTAATTGCAGTTGTGCATTTGACAAGACTGCAGGCATTCCCTTCTGTTGTATTTATGTTTTATTTTCATTTTCCATTTCCCAATGTGTTCATATATAAACTGAATGAAATTGTATATATTCATATACGGATACTAGAAACTAAAAACGCTGAATCATAGTGGAGAATATCACTTACAGTCAAGTACAGAGTCCACCAGAACAGCCATGAGTCCTTCTTGTTCATCCTAGCAAGAGACTGCAGCAAAACGGATACACTAATTTAGGGATAAGCAATTGCACCAAAATGTCACAAGTATACTGAGAGACGAACGCAAACCTCTCCATCAAGGCACTCAAACTTCCACACGCTATTGCCCTCATCATCGATCTCATTCCACCAGCGCAGCCCAACCAATATCCTCCCACTGACGTTCTTGACCACCCAGAAGTCAAGTGCTGCCAGGAGCACGGTGATGACAAAGATAATAACAAAGTTGGTCACGAACAGCGCAGACAGTATGTAGAACGCCAATGCCCCTGCCTTCACATACAAACAGTCCAATCAACTTAGTAATTGCTAGCTACAGTGTTTATGTAAACAATTACAAAGAACATTGAAGAAAAACAGGCGAGTGAGTACCTTGAAGAGGACATGGAAGAAACATGTCTTTGGATTTGCATAATTCTCGCCGACCACCTGCAGCAACAGAAACATATATCATCACTATCATGCCACTCCTAAATCTCAATTTAAGCAGCAGAGGAATTGAGAAGAAATAGTTATTAGTGCAGTCAAGAAACCCTAACCAAATTGCATCCACTTGTCCTAGAAACCAAACTGTAACGGCCGACCCAGATCTCACAAGAACAATTTATTGACTCTTTTCTTACACAACTAAAACTAGCCAAGCTCTTGCACAACATATACTAATCTGGGCTGGTCCAATCAGAAAAACCGAAAGATCTGGAGCAAGTAGCACAACTCCAATCCAATCCCCAAGCAAACCAACTCCTTGAGGTTAAAAATAGAGAAATCAAGAACCTTCCGGCCAGGCGGGGCAAGGGAAGGGAAGGGAGCGGAGGGAGCTATCACCTGGTGTTGATCCATCGGGCTTTGCTTCTTCGCCCACTCCGCTTGAGTTCTTCCGCTGCTATGCTACTGCTTCGCGGGATCCCTTCCTCGGTTACTCCCTTGGAGATCGAAGAGGACGGGGGGTCAAATGCAAATATGTCGTCTAGAAGAGGGGCGGATCGCAAATTCTGCGTAGAGAATGGGTAGATATCGCGAGGCTGGCTGGCCCAACAAAGTTGGCCCAAACTGGTCTCGTCTAGGCCCATATAAGTATAGGAAAAAGTACACCGAAGGTCCCTTAACTTGTCATCGAGTTACAAAATAATCCTTGAACCGCAAAACCGGATACAACGCATCCCCCAACTTACAAAACCAGTACAAATTAGGACCCTCGGTGGTTTTCACTCCGGTTTTATCCGACGTGGCAACTGACTCAGCATGGGACCCACGTGGGCCCCACACTCAGGGTGACCACGTCATCATTTCATCCTCTTCTTCTCTCCTTCCTTCTCTCTCTCAGTTTTCTCCTTGGTGGGGTGAGGTGGGACAGGGCAGCGACGGCGCCTCGGTGGGGCGAGGTGGGACAAGGTGGCCAGCGACGGCAGGCGACGGAGGAGGAGTAGTGCGCAGGAGGCGGGGGAGCACCTGGGCGGCCGGCGACAGGCAGCGGGGTGGAGGCAGGCGCTTAGGCGGCGAGCGATGGAGAAAGAGTAGTGCGCATGCGGCGAGGGAGCACCTGGGCGGCCGTCAACGGGCGGCGGGGTGGAGGCACGCGCTGTGGCGCCGGACGACGGAGGAAGAGCGGTGTGCAGGCGGTGGGGGAGCACCTGTGTCACGTCCTGATAAATTCATCCCGAAATAAAAATCATTCTCTAAAAGGAATAATAGAATTAATTAAAATTCGAAAAGAAATTGGCAAACACTAAAATACGTACAAGAAAAATTCAAATGTGGCCCGGAGAATTTTTGTTAAATTCTCCTTGGTCTAAAAAGAGCCCTCAAATTTTAGTGGAATTTTCAGAGCACAAATAATAATTATTAAGAAATAAACAAAGTTAAAATGAGTTTATAAAAAGAAAAACCCTAAAAAGTCTTTTTCCCCCCTTCCCCTCTTGGGCCGGCTCGGCCCACCTCCCTCCCTCTCTCTCCTCTCCCCCGCGGCCCAATCGGCCTCCTCCCCGCCCGCGTGCCGCTGACGGGCGGGCCCGCCCGCCACCCTCGCTGACGGGTGGGGCCCACCTGTCATCCCTGTCCTCCCGCCGCTCCCGCCGCCTCGCCCGTGCCCTAGCGCCGCCGCCGCCGCGAATCCCGCTGCCTCCCGCCGTCCCCGCGCGCAATAAAGAGGGGGAAATCACTCCCCGTGATTCCCTCCCTCTTTCCCCCCCACTTTTCCCTCTCTCTCTCCCTCGATTCGTTTGGAAATCCTCCCGCAAACTTCGCCGGCGTCATTGATGGAGCCGAGATCGCCGCGCCGGTTTCCTTCCCCTCCGGCCGCCCTCTCTCACTCCCAACACTATATAAACGCTCCCCGTGCCTCCCTCCTCCGTTTCCGCCGCTCGCCGCTCTCTCTCCCCGTCGGAATCGAGCTCGCGCCGTCGTCCTCTCTCTCCGCCATCGCCGCCGAGCTTCGGTCCGCCGCCGTCGTCGCCCCGGACCTCCTCCCGCTTCGGCATCGCCTCCTTCGGCTTCGCCGCGTCCTCGCCGACCTCGTCCACCCCTTCGTTTCGCCCGCCGACCGCCGGAACGCCGCCGTCCTCGTCGACCCGAGCCGCGCCGCCGCCTCTCTCCGCTTCGGTCGCCGTTCCCGTCGTCGCCGTCGACCCGGGGTGAGCCGAGGACCGCCATTTCGCTTCCCCCTTCCCTCCCCTCTCTCGGGCGCCGCTCCGTCGCGCCGGTGGTCGCCGGCGGCGACCATCGGGGCGCGGGCGCACCGCCTCCCGTCGGCCGTGCCGGCGAGGCCGCCTTCGGGCGCGCCCCGCGGCTGCCATGTGGGGCCCGGCCGTCAGCCGCCCACGCCCTCGGGTGCGGCTGACGCGTGGGACCCACGGCGTCGGCCGGCGCAAGCCGCGTGCACCCGGTCCACCGTGGACCGTGAGGCTGCCGCGTGGGCCCCACTCCCGTGGACCCGGTCCGCGCGCCCCTCCCCTCGGCTGACGCAATAAATCCGATTTTTAAATTAAAATTTAAATGAAGAAATTCGCAAATATCCATTTAAAGAGCATATAAACTTCAAATGGCCATATCTTGGCCATTTGAACTCGGAATTGGACCGTTCAAGTCTCTAATTTTTCCTTAAGAAGTCAAGAACCCATTTTTGTGCTTTGTTTCTGCCTGTTATATGGAGTTTATTAGAGTAAAAGCCTTTTCTTTTCCGTTGGTCGTGTAGACGCTGCAGCTTCGGAAGATCCGCTCTTCGTGGAAGTTGAAGCCGACGTTTGGGAAAGCGAGCAAGGCAAGTCACATCATCCTTGAACATATTGAATCCCAGTTTATAAAATTATGTTGCTTTAAATTATTGCATTATCGCTTTATTTAAATTCCCGCGTTATCACTGTTTTATCTAGCCATGCCTATCTACCTTTGTTATGACCTTATTATTATTGTTATTGTTATTATTACCTTGTTCACCCTAGATTAAACAAAACTCCAACTAGTGGACACTCTACTCATAGTACCACTAGTATAATTTTAGGTAGATGCTTCGCTGATTAATTAGGTAACATTAGGCGGTTTTACAACTCTAGACTTTGGGATATTCATATCACCTGGACACTTTGGAATTGTTGGTTTATTGTGGAATTGGACACACACCTCCCCCTCTATTCAAAACCCCCAAAATGGTTTTAGGCTGGGCTCGAGGTGCGTGGTTGGGTTTTGCTAGTCGTACCTCGGGTACTATAAGGATTAAGCTCGGGCCTCTGTTGCAAAGCACTACCGTACTTCCACATGTCTAGTGGGTAAGGCTTAGTTTGTGGCTCAGTCTGGTTATAAACAAAAGTACACGGATGGAGATGGACGAAGTCGGGGGTCGATGGACATCTCTAGGACAAATGAAGGCTACACGAGCTGCGGCCCGGTAGTCGAGATGTCATGGCACAGGGCTGGTGTCCTGCTGCTAGGGGCTCAATCCTGCCTACCTGTCCCGGAGGTTCCGGCCGTAGGTGGGGTTGGGTCGGTACTCTTGTTTATGGCTAGGATGGGTTGGGAACTATGTCACGTCTTCCGTCCGTATACCGTGGTGGTATGTGGCACGTGGTTACACGTGAGGAAGATGTGTCTTGTGGGTAAAGATGTACACCTCTGATCAGAGTAAAACCTATTCGAATAGCCGCGCCCTCGGTTATGGGCAAGCCGAGCAATGTACCCAAGTTAGTGTTTTAATTCTTAAACCTGCTTAACAACTAAAATGTGGAATGGTTGGCCTGGGTTGGCTTGGGACGAGCTGGGACCCAGGGTCGGGTTGCCAGTTCGGTCTGGATCATCGTAGGCCTTGGGTTAAGGCAGGTTCGTGAGGGTTCACGGCCTTGATTAATAATACTGTGTAGCTCTAGGATCGTCTTTATAAAATGGCTTTGGGCAACTAAGTGACTTTTAAATGCTGTTTTCTGCAAAACTTAACCCCTATATCATTACCCCTTGTACCCCCTTGCATTAATCGTGCATCCGCCGGTGTGGCTTGCTGAGTACTGTGGTTGTACTCATTCTTGCTCTATCTTTCTCCCCTCTTCAGTAAGAGAAGCTTTGGAGAAGATGTCTTAGGTGGAGTCCTGGCTTATACCCCAGTTGAGCGCCTGTGAAGATGGAGCTGTAGGCCCGCTAGTCCGCTGCTGTTTATTTTGATTGTCAGGCCTTAAGTGCCTTTGTAATAATGTAAATATTATCGATATAATAAAGATGTGTCTTTTATATCATGTTTGTATGGTGTACCCCGGCTTTTCCTGGGACGGGGATTAATACACTAGCGTTCGGGAAAAGGCAATTTTCTCGGTCGCGACAACCTGGGCGGCCGGCGATGGGCGGCATGGTGGAGGCAGGCACTGTGGTGGCCTCCGCCCTCCACCGCGCCACGGCCGCAGTCCGTCGTGAAGCCCAGATTGGAGTGCACCGCTGGGGAGGGTTTGGCTGGGGAGGACCCGCCGTGGCCGCCGTTTGATCTCAACCTCGCTGTCGTGCTCGTCGGGTTCGCGTTCAAGGCCTACAGCAGCCTACCTGTGAGCCCACACGAGGCGGCGGTAGCGACGGGCGACGAGGCGGCAGTGGCGATGACGAGGGAGCAGGAGGGCCTCCCCCCACGCTGCCACAACCGCCACTGCTGACGGCGCGAGCGCCAGATCCCACCGCCCACGGCGGCGGTCCATGGCGGCGAGACGGATCGAGGACGCCGTGTGTGTCACGCCCGGAAATTCACTAGTAATTTCCGAACTTATTTGTGCATGAAATCCTCGTCCAGGAATCAGCCGAGGTACACAAATTGACAATTTAATATACAGATTCATCAAATTAACTAAAACGATAAATACTTACTTAAGAGGCACTAAGTCCTCACCAAGAAGAAAACTGCAGCGGAAAATAAAATCTAGCGAAGCTCCGGCTCCACTCCCACAGGCAGCTCAACTGGGGTATAAGCCAAACGTCTTCTCCTTCTGGATCCTTTTTCTTCAACTGAGGTTGATTGATTATTGCAAGGTGAGCATATGACATACTCAGCAAGCCACACAGCAAATATGCAAGTGTACAAGGATACCAAAGGATGGCGTAATATTGGCTCATTTGCAAAAGCAGCATTTAGCAAAACATTTAAGAGAAGTAAAAATAGTGGAGTAATTAATCAGAAATTTTAATCAACACTGAACAGCACACCCATGCTGCACAGGCCCAACCATCCTGAACAACCATACCCGGCTGTACAGATCTAATCTCCAAACCAGGAGCTAAGCAAATTATTATCAGGTATAACATCCATAGTTATGGTGAGAGGTGTGGGACTAATCACGAAAAACATTGCTCAACTCGCCCATAACCGCGGGCACGGCTATTCGAATAGTTTTACTCTGGCCAGAGGTGTACCACTGTACCCACAAGACACAGCCTCAACATCATGTCTACCATGCGTCGCGATACTGGAAAGTACCCGAATAGAGGCTGTGACAATACCCTCTGCATAACACAACTCACCAC